ATTTTCATCAGAATTTGTCAAACAGATCCTGAGTTTTATTGCAGACATACATTCATTGATATACAAATGAAAGTTGCATTTCTGGTATCAGTGGTAAAAGCAATTTCAGTTACACATTTCTGACCCTTTAACTATTTAGCTCAGGACTATCTTTTGCACTTTTTGCTTCTTAAAACAGCTTTCAATTTCACTCTTTTATATTTTTGAATTTTATACATAAAAACAGTTGATGAATCAGTAAATATTTGTAGGAGGAGACAAAATTCAGTACAAGTTCACATTACTTATAAAAGTGTTTTACTAATTCTAGCAAATATAAATGCTGAAAAAGTCTTGGTGCATCAATTCTAACTTTTCAGAAAGCATTTTATCTTATACAAGATAGAGTATTAGATGCTCTAATCAACTCTGAATTGGTTAAGCATCTCATTTTGTAGGGTTTTCTTTCCAATAAGCAATACAGATTCCACTTTTCTAGGTTAAATGCTGATGTACTAATGATGATTTCTGAAAGAGTTTATCAAACTATAAGAATGGTAAGGCTTGGGCTTTTTGGATATCTTGAAAGCATTTGATAAAGTTTGACATGCTGGTCTTCACAAGTTGAAAGGTTATGGTATTTCTGGACAAATTTTTGAACTGATTCAGTCTTTCTTATCAAATAACAAAATGAAAGTTGTTTAAATGGCCACTCTTCTAGATCTTTTTACATTAATGCAGGTCTCTATCTTATGTGGTTCTTAATTTTCATCAACAATATTCCCGATGTCATATGTTCTCAACTCTGATGACACAACTATTTACTCTTAGCTTGATAGTAAGTCTGCTCAGTTTGATATGGTCAAATTGGCAGCTGATCTAAAAAATTACCTACAACCTGTTGTTAATTGGGGCAAGGAATAGCTTGTTAATTTTAATGCATCTAAAACAAAACAGCTCTCTTTTAATCATCTGAGAGAACCCTTTTTGCCTTCCATCAGCATGGCTCATGCTAACCTATAGAAGTTACTCGTGCCTTCTTGAACTAATAACATGAAGGGGAAAGAGTATATTGAATCAATTGCTAGTCTGCTGCCAGGAAAATTGATTCATTGTGTCATGCTAGATAATTTTTCTTGCCAAAATCTATATGCTTTGAATATTGCTGCCACATATGATTTGGTGCTTCTGCTATGCATTTTGAGATCCTTGATAAAATGCAAAGAAGAATCTGCAATTTTATTGGTCCTGACCTGGGATCTCAACTTCAGCCATTTTCCCACTGCCATAACATAGTTTCCCCTGTGCCTTTTCTATAAATATTTTTCATGGTAATTGTTCTGATGAACTTTCCTCTATGGTACCTAGACTTTACAAATTTAAGTCCAGTACTAGATTGGCAGCAATGTCTCATCTAACCATAATTTCTATTCTATGCTAGCAGTTTCTTCTCTTGCTTGTGGAACTCTCTTCTGGCTTTTTGCTTCCCAGTCAACTTTGATCTTCAAAAATTTAAATGTAATGTCCATCATTATCTTCTTAATTCTTGTTCTTGTATTGTTCTATCTCATTCATAGTATTTTCTTTTTTCTCATATTCTTTAATACTCAGTATCTTAGTGGCTTTATTGTCTTGCATGGTGTAAAATGGTTAAAAAAAAGAGAATACAAGGTTATATAAAATAAACACAAGAATGTCACAAGAATGAATCTTTTTTTTTTAACAAAAGTTTGCAATTTAAATCAGTTGGTTTCCAAGATCCATGCAGTATACCTCCAAACTGTAATCAATTCTTGCAGTCACACACAATAACTTTGGTAAACTCCTCTAAAAAGATCACAACTTAAAATCCATGCAATATGCACCTAAGCTAGAAGACTCATCCATCAACTTTTGCAGCCTCAATCAATGGATCAACTCTAACAAGTTATAACAACAGCTCTATCTTCTTATCACCAAATTTATTAATGCAGAACTTTCATGATACATCAGCAGGACAGTAAATATAACAATTTCAGCTTGATATGGTTTGACAATAATAAAAAACTATATTTACTAATCATAAATGGAAAAGCTTAGTACAATTCATCGACCCTCCTCAATATTTTAAAAAGAATTTTCAAATTTTTTTGTTGGAAAATTTTATCAGAAAATAAGTGTGATAACTATAGTAAATTTAACACTAAAATGCCTAAAATCCAATAAAACAATATTTTCCTAAATTTTTAAGATTACACAGTAGTTAAAAGTTACATAAAAAAGGTGCTCACATTATCCATAAAGAAAATTTTAGTTATGTCCACCATAGAAAAAAATTAAACTTGTCTGTTAGCCACTGTCAACACCTAAAATAAACAGCCTGTTGCCATGTTAAAACATGCATTTCTGCTATATTTTAAAGTAAAAAAAGTAATATTAATTTAAATTAGCTAATATTCCACAAAAAATCTATTTTATTTTTTTAAAGATATCTTAATGAAGAGAATTACATCAGATAAAAGATAGCTAAAATCAGCGATATTAGCAATTTTCAAAACGAAACTCTTTCCAGTCGATTTAAATTAGTTTTATGTTTGACTTTTGAAATAGAGCATTTTGCTTCTTACTGGAAATAAATTTAAAATCTATTAGTTTGAAATTAAAACTAAAATAAAAGCTTCAAGAAAGTTTTTTTTTTATTTTAAAAAAATTAATTTTAAACTTTCGGTATCACGTTTCTGAGGTAGTACCTATTTTAATTTTTTTTTCTCTCTTTTTTGGTAGGTACCTAATTTTATATTACCTTTTTCTGCAAAATAAACACCAGGAATTAAGTTTCAATTATTTCAAGTCCCATAACTCAGTATGATGTGACATTTGATTAGCTTTCTTTGGACTTTACACTGCTATAAATTGTGAATTGTAATCTTAGACCTCAGGTCCGATTTGATGTTTGAAAATAAATTGGGGATAATGAATTCACGAAATAATCATAATTCAATTTCCTTTGTGATAAATTATAACAATAACATTATTCTATCACCATTTCTTATTTCAGGTAGGCTCAGAGTTTTAATTAATAATAGCCTACCTTGATGATAGTTTCAAATTATCCACATTGCTATTATTATTAATTTTTACCAGATTTTTTTTCATTTTATTTTTTATCAAAATGTTCAAGTTATTTTTGCATTCTAAAACAGTGTAGAATCGAAATAATTGAATCTAAGCTAATTTTACACATCCTCGGAAAGTGTCTACTTTTAACAGTCAGAGAATGTAAAAACAACCTGATGATAAAAAAGCAAAAACAACAAATATCCAAAGAAAAACTCATTAAAAAACTAAAACAATAACCAAGATTGGTGGATGCATTTCATCAAGCAAGATGTTCTCGTGCAACATAGTAACTTATTTTTTCATTTGTCAGTTTCAGGCAAACCACAATATTATTGTCATTAGTTTCTAATAGATTGTTAAACTATTATTTACAGTGCCACACTTTACTAAGAATTTCCAACTAATTCAAGAAAACCTGTTTCTCAATTATCATTCAAGATAAACATATGTAGTAAAAAAGCAATAAAGTAAAAGAAAAAGGTAAGTATTCTTTGCTTAATTCCTGGATAGAGTTTAATTTTAAAAAATAAGAAAAATTTACTTGAATCTCAGCTTTGATCCTACCATAGGAATATTAATACCATAATAAAAAAAAATATCGACAATTGTAACTAAGCTTGATTATTTGACCAATCAGTGCCAACTTCTTAGCACTAAACAGGCAAAAAAATATATGCAAGAAATTAAATCAGTGTATGGAAGCTTGTAACAGACTGAATTAAGACTAACAACTAAATCAAAGTCATTATTTAATCCAGTCATTATAATGCTTTGGACATATTTTTTTTTAAACTAACAGTGTTAGTGTTATAAATTGTGTTGTCGGTCTTTCAAAAATTTAAAGCAAAATGCTGATTGCTTTTTTTTCTTTTGTTCATGAAGAGTTCATAAGCTTTGTCTAACGTTTTTTTTTTGTTTTTTTTTACTACGGTCGAATAAGCAAAATATTGGTATTGACAACTAATCACGCTACGATAGATGTCCATAAATTTTTTCTTCATGCAGAAAAATTGTTTTATCGCAAAATTAAAATTCGTTCCAGCTGAGTTTTAAAAAAAAATTACTTTTCACTTCCACAAAATATCTTACTAGTAGATATTTAGTCTAAATACACTAACTACAAAAAAAATATTTTTTCTGGTCTCAGTTTGTTGTGAAAGAAAATTACTCAAATAATACCGCTAACAACGAGTAGTAGCAGCTGATTTAAGCACTAAATAAATTTTTCCTATTTTTATGTAGCGCCACTGCTTTGTTTGAGGAAACAAATGCACCTTTAACTTTATTGCTAATCTAGTTTACCTTAAGACATTTTTTTTAGTCTAGTAATATTTTACGAGAAATCGATAAAAACCTATCTGTAACCTTTCGATTTACACTTCTTGTCTTTATTACCGACTACCAAAATTACTATTTTTTTTAATCAAGTGTTTTTCAAAAACCAAAATATCTCCCCAAACAAATATGAAAAGTAAAAAAGTTTTTACCAAGAAAACAGTGAAAATTTTAAAACAGGAGCGTGCGAAAGATAGTAATAAACTTAGGTTTTAGAAGCGTATTTTTAACCTTGCTAGTAAAATATTTGAAATTTTTCTTGTACATTAAAACTGAATCAGCGAAATTTAAACTGTGTACTTATAAAAAATTTATCTTATAAATTATCAGATATTGCAATTAATTCTTAAACAAGAAATGGGTTACGTAAAAGTACAGCTTCACATCTATTGATTGTTAAATATGAAAATAAAATTAAGTTTTAGAAATAAATTCACCAGGAATCTGCTTCTTTCAGTAAATCCGACAGAGTTATCAGCCCTTGCTTTAAATTTTAAAAAAAAAAAAAAAAAAAATTGTTTGAGAATTATGGGATACTGTGTCCGCCATTTGTTCGGAACTGTTACGGATAGACTATTATTTTATAGAATCTGATAAAATTACATCAGGTGAGTAAATCTCTTCTTGCAAAATGAGCCGATTCCCAATGCTTAATGCAATACTACAGAGTAGGCGGTGGAAATTAAAATTCACTCTTTTATATCGTCTAATAACCTGTTCTGATTACATTCCGCGCTTACTTCATTTGCATAAAGGGTTGATAAATTGCAGTGGGAAAACCTATGCATTTGCTAAAAAAATATTTCTTAGCTTTATTCTAGTTTTATCCCAGAGTATTGTATCTAATTGTCATGGTAGTTTTAAAGGATTTTTTTTTTTAGATCCTTTCTTGGTTTTCTATTTGAAAGTATTGGTGAAGAGAGTTAAAAGAACAGGCTCGCAGTTATCTTTTATCATGGCCGTCTTGTTAGTGTTGTTTGTTTGATATTTTAATCCAATTGTCTGTTGATATTCGTTACCACAAATCTGCTTCAGAGAAGGAAAACTCGGACTTTCAACGGGAAAAGTGTTTACCCCAGCGGCCAATCCTGTAAAATTTGCCATACTTGAAGTGTTTTTGTCGCGTTACTGTTAAAAATTTACCTATATTCTTTTAAAACAGTACTACTTTCCATAAATCTTCTTACAAGAACAGTTTATTAAAAAAAAAAATGTATCATATTTTTAAACTATGCGTCAAGTTTCTTTACTGTTATTCGATAAGATGCATGTGTAGCATTAATTTCGAGGGGAAAAAAGAGTTAATTCTTTTCAATTTCTACAAAAAACATCATTTTTGTTAAAAATGTTATTTTTTTGGTAATTCTTTTTACAAATGTTATTTTATTTTAAAAGCGTATCTAATTTATGGTTAGTCTTTTAATTCCTCAGATTTGCTTCTGTTATTTTCCCTTTTAAAACGAAAACAAATATCATTTTTTTGCTTTCAAGTGAATTAAAATTTAAGTGCTCATTTCATTTATTATTTGAAATGTTCATTTTTTTTTATTCGTATGAGAATCCAAAACAAAGCATAACTGACCTTTCAAAACCTTTTCTCTTGGAAATGAAATTACAATAATACACTTAGTTTTAGATTCTATACATCGATTAATATTTTGCCTTAAGAAACTGAACTGAAATCTGTTTTAATATTGCTTCTATTTTATTGTATATTGGGTTCTATTCACTTCTGGTAGCAGGTAACCCCTTTTTTTCTAAGTGTCTTTCTTTGTACCCTACCTTCACACACTTCTCAACCACGTTATGTATGTATGTATGTGTGTGTGTATGTGTTTTTAAAAATTAATAGATTCGAAGGTGTCGTACGAATTTGTTTACATTTAAAATTCAGCTGCTAATTTGTTATTTATGAATCTTTCAAGAAAGTTATTGAATATTTGTGTTCAAACTTTTCACAAATTTAAAAATGTCACGGACTTGCTTTTTGCACTTGTTTACTACCAAGAAAATCATCGATGTCTTAAAAAAATAAATTACATTGATTAGTTGAGTACAGAAAAATGTTATCTTTCAGCATTTTTTGTAATTAGATAATTTTTGTAAGTCCTCTCAAAACAAGGAATTCCATCAGTTTGAAACGTTAAAAAATCTGAAATAATACAAATTTTTAAAATGCTACAAAATTTCTGAAAAATATTTTAAAAACTGATAATTAGTTGATTATTTCCTATGGTTTGTGTAGTACACACTACACTAAAAATCAGAAAAATCCGTCAACCTCATGGATTTGTACGGAAAAGTATCGTTATTTTGGTCTCTAAATATATTTTTTGGGTAAGATTTCCATAAAACTTTTTCATTTTAAAATGCAAGATTTTTTTTTCTTTTTAATACAGCGTGGTGTATTTTAACATGGAGATAGGCTGATTTTGTTAGTGTATTTTTTTTTTTTTTTTTTTTTTTCTACCAAAAAATAATATAACTTCCTCAAGGAAAAAATCAAAACATATTTTTGTTATTGCCTTATTTACTTTTAGAATTATCTTCATAATCCTTAACATTGAAGGAAGCACTTTTTAAAATTAAGATTCTGAATTTCTTTGAAAAAAAATCGGTTTTTGTTTTTTCTTTTCTATGATGGTTCATATATCCTAGTTCATGTGGGCAAAAGTGTGCTGTTAAACCTTTTGTTTTTTTTTGTTCATGGAAAAGAATGAATATCTGAGTGATGTAGGCATTTGGTTTCATTTTATTTTAGTGGCTTGTTTGAGTTAAGCAATCTATACATTTTTGTAACTGTTTCAATTAGCAAGACTTATTCATTGCCTTTGATTTTAACATTTAGCACTGCATCATTTATAAATTAAATATTACTTCCCTTTTTTTACTGTATATGGAATAGTGTTTTATTAGTTCTATATATTTGAAATTGGAGTAGCCTGGCTCTCAATTTTAGTCAAGATTGTTTTAGGTGTTGCCATAGTCTATGGCTACACAAACAAGATATTCAAATTCAACTGGTATTGGCAGGACTAACATTTTGCTTGGTGAAAATAGTCACTTCCAGAGTGTTAAAGGATAAAAAGCTGCCACTAAAAGGTGAAATCAAAGTTCACAAATTATCAAGCATCAAATACATTTTTGCTCATTTTAATATGTAGTTCTTTATAATGATGTGTTCTATGCAAGTTTCCTGTTTTGGCAAGTTTTTCACTTGTGCTTTTGTTATTTTATTCTATTTATACAAATCTTTAAAAACATTTGTAAATTTTATCTGATTTTTGAGAAATTGCCAATATACTTTGACTATTTGATTTAGTCAAACTATTGTTCTCGCCTTTGATTATTATAGATGTATTGTAGAAACATCTGATATTGGATTTAAAGGCTCCAAAAATACACTACTGATGTCCTTCTTTTATGATGTTGGACAGCTTCCCTTGTCACTTTTGCTATGTCAAGCTAAAGCTCGTTATTACTTCCAAAATGGTCATTATATTCGAGACTTTGTAGATGCCAGTACTAGTAGTAACACCTTCCAGTAATATCCACACTAGTAATAGTTGTTCAAGTAGTAAATGCCAAATAGTATAATGATTAGAACAGAATCGTAATCCGTATAGTAGTAGTAAGAGTGAACAGTGATCGTATAATCATCACGCTACTTCCTATTTATTCACTTCCTTTATGATCACATGATCTACTTAATAATGGAATCACCCATGTTGCTCACTGGCGATCTAGTTTCAAACCACAATGTCAGCAACAACACTTATTCTTATACAACACCTCCCCTTTGAAATGACTTCCCATGGGTCCTATATTTTTTTTAGCTTTGGTTCAATAGTTACAAACTCTGTTGGCCTTCTTTTCCTTTTGCCATAATCCCTTGGTTGCACTATTTCTGCTGGTGTAGGAATGTTGAATGTGTCATACAGGATTTCTATCAGTACTTCCATTCAGGGACTTTTTAATTCAGTGAAACAATGTTTTAGCTGGTTAATATATTGGTTGTGTTCCCACCTTTGTCTTTGTATTATGTCTGTCATTCTGCCAATACGTTTCTTAATGACGTCATCTTGTCAAAATTTCTTTCTGCACTGATATAGCCTGAAAAATACTTTTTCTCCAGGTTTGAAATAAGTATTTGTATAGTTACTCTTTGATGTTCTCATCTTGCGCTCAGGTAGCAGCTTATTGAAGACAAACTTGATTTTTCCAGCAAACATCAATTCTGCCGTTGACATTCCCAACATGGTGTTTGGGTTTGGCGTAATACGGTAAACACTTAAAAACAGTTAAATCATGATCTCGTCTGACTCCTCTCCCTCTGATTTCCTTAAAGCCCTCTTAAACATTCAACAAAATGTTCTGTTTGATCTAGGGTGATACAGGGGAGTAGTAATGTGTTCACTTGCTAGTGACTAGCAAAAGAACTTTAATTGACTGGACATGAATTGTGTACCATTGTCAGATATGATTGAATCAGGAACACCAAATCTTGCAAAAATTTGATGCAAGAATTTAATAGTTACTGTGGTAGTTGGTCTCCTGCATTTTAGTACTTTTTGGCCATTTCATAAACCTATCTACTACTACTAGATAGTACACTCCATTTATTGATCCAGCAAAGTCAATATGAATTCTAGTCCGTGTTAGCCAAAGTTGAACTTTTATAAGCAGTGAATTTGCTGCCAGAGTGCAACACAGGCATAATTTTACCACATTTTCTATATCTTTATCTATATTCTACCAGTAGGTGTAGCATCTTTTTAAAAATTTCATCCTAGAAATTCCCGGATGTCCTCTATGAAACTTTTTCAACATTCATCTTTGTAACGATGCTGGTATAACTACAATCAAAGCGTATATCAATACACCTTTGCACAATGAAAATGCACTAGTATTTTTCCTTGTAGTTTTTAATTTATACTTTATTTTCATTATGAAGTGGTCATTACCTGCCTTAATTTTTATTTCTTCCAATGTAATTGACAACTCTTACACAGTATTATATAGTGCATTACTTACTTCACTTTCGGCCCTAATCGCCACAATTACTGTGTCTTCCAGTGGTTCACAGCATCTTTGTACTAATCGAGACAAACCGTTCACATGACAGTAAAAATTCCATCTTGTAATTATAATTTAACAGGACTGTTCCCCAGCACTGCAGTCTATTCGCTGTATATGTAGGAACACCTTTTTTTCAGATCCATATATTGATAACAACGGTTGATGGTCCGTTTGAAGAATAAATTTCTGTCCATGTAAGAACTTGTGGAATTTCTTCATTGCAAATATAATAGCCAATGCTTTTTTTCAGCTGCAATTAACAACCTTGAAGCATGCATTATTGGCTTTGTTGATCCATCATCATACTTATATAATACCACTGCCCCAATCCCTGTATCACTTGTAACGACAATTTTCAGTTTAGGGTCGAAATGAGTCGGTGACAGCTCTGATGTCAGTGCCTTCTTAATCTGCTTAATCTGACATTTTTCTGTCCATTTCCACTTGACATCCTTCTTCAGTAGATTATTTAATGGTGTTTTCAACTTGTGCATATTAGGTATTTATGTGTGTATGGTAATAGTTTGCA